GCCTTGCCTCTTTTTATCACGCGTAGAAAGTAGACCATTATTCACTTGATTTGTCACCAATGGTCGTCATTGTGGATTCATGTAATTGAGCAAAAGTTACTTGAGAATAAATAAAGTGCTTAAAGTATCCAAAGCACTTACTCCTGTTTGCCGTTTGCCTGAAAACCTTCCTTTTTTAAAGTCGGTTAAAAAGATGATGAAAACTATCTCTCTAAAGAAAGAGCACGCTGAAGAAAATGCAACCCTACAATTGTTCAACTGCAAATAGATTTTAAAAGAATATGTATATAAAACAGGGGAGAAATAAATGTTATTTTCTTTATTCCATACTCAATACTCAACACTTAATAGATGCAATATAATAATATACTATTACAGTTTCTTAACTTAAAGTGCTAGTTGCGCCATCTGTGTAGAAAGTTCAAAGCCGCCACGAAAGCTTGTTTTGTGTTTAGCTTCTGACTGACGATGGTTTACTCAATGTTTTTGGAAGGCTTTGTTGATGGTAACTTACCGTAGCTTCTTAAAGCGGCCACTAGATGACCTGCATATAAGTTTGGTAAGCTTTTATAAAGTAAATAGTAAGAAGATTATGATGATTTGTCTTCAACTGGTGTAGTTGTTGCATAATTTAATACGAAACCAAATTACAGTTACCTCGACAGAAACTTTTCCTAAAATAAAATTTATATTGTGACTAGTATGTATATTTTGTACACAGATTTTATGGGCATTCATTGGATTGCTAGGTTAATAACAACTTTGAACTCTAGTCCTAAGATAAATGGAATGCTGTTTCAATTATGTAGGTACAGTAACGACTCGAGTATACAAATAGCAATGAATACAAACATGTCACGTTGAGTAGTCTGCAGTCACGATCCTATGGCAGACCACATAATTATTTTATATGACTGACATCACAAAATAGCTAACAGTTCGTCGAATACGAAAAAGTTAACAATGCTTTAAGTATCAGTATATATAAGTATGTTTATCAGCTGTCTGGTTACCAAGTTACAGGCTCTGCCTAGTTTGGGATCAGAGGGCCGTGTGTGAGATGTGTGAAATTATTATTATTAAAAAAAAAATAAGTGTGGGTCACCCTTGTCATTTAGGGGTATGAAAAATAGATGTTGACCGATTCTCAGACCTACCCGATGTGTACACAAAATTTCATCAAAATCGGTCCAGCCGTTTCGGAGGAGTATGGTAAAACATTGTGACACGAGAATTTTATATACGAGTATAAGATATATAACACTTTACTTGTTTTACAAAAATGTAGTGTATTTCCTTACATATTTTTAATTGACCGTTCCAGCCTAGGCGTCTAGGCACAGCACAGAGCACCTACGGTCCATGTAAAAAAAAGGATATCTCTCCCGTCTACTCAGCAGCCAGCCATTATGCAGCAACCGCCCCGATTCACTGGAGACTTCACCGCAGCACCGCGCACAGCGCCATCTAACGAAGACACACCGAACTAAGATGTAACTCCTGAATGAGAATTGCTAATCCTGTATCGCGATATGAAGAATTCTCTACCCGATTAGCATACAACATACAAGTTCCCAACATCGACTGTTGGGCCTCGGCCCGCCAGGCCTGGTCACCTCGCCTGGTCGGAGGATCCTCCTTTTGTGTTGGGGGGACAAGACGCCCGTTCCTCCACATACTTTTTCATTCTAATTAAGTGTATAGATACTTTTTCCGATTTTTCAAAACAATATTTACAGGTTACATTATCTCTTTTTAGGGTTTTTTACAGGTTACTTTAATATAATATGAATATGATAATATGGATATGATAATGGTTTTGATTTTGAAATCCACGATGAAAAGTTAAGAAAAAGAAAAGAAAAGAACTTGATAAAGAATTTAATGCCAACCTTATACCGTTATCAGAGTGTGAAACTATTTAAACGCTTATCAACATAAATTAAAATTTTAAACACACGGATTTAAAAAGAGTTGAAGTTTTCTAATTGGAAAAATGTTATTATTCTGTGAATGAATTCACTAGCTCAACTTGTAACTGACATTAAAATCGCAGTGCCATGATATGGACACAATTTAATTATTAAATGATCTTTTTTTTTGATAAAACAATTCTAACTGACATAAAGTCCCTATTTTTTTAACTTAATTTATTTTGTTTAACATTAGTCTTGACATTGGGTTATAAATGAATGTCATATATGTAAGTTCTAAAATGTTTTTATCCCATATTGTATGTTTTTATTGTAAAGTATGTAACCTTCTTTACTACGATAAATTGTTACATTCAGACACAATTGTAATAAATAATAATTAATTTCACATCACACATCACATCAACAGCCTTTACTAGTGCACTGCTGGACACGGGCCTCTCCTCAGAAAGGAGGTTTAAACGCTTAAACGCTTGATCGATTATTTTATTATTAATTTATTTAACCTTAACGTTGTCGGTGTAGTGACAGATTAAGAATACGGAGTGTCACAACCCCAATTCATCCCGTGGGCATCGTAAGAGCCAACCAAAGGAGCAATTTACACAGGAGAACAGCACTGCAAAGAGAAGGAAAGCTTCAAACAAACCCTATATTAACACAGCAGATTTTAGGTCGAATTATAGCCTTAACTACTATCCTTTCTAAGTTTTTTATATTTTTAGCGCCAGAGGCTATCGAGACTACTATCAGAGGTATGAGAGAGGGGTGAAGATAGTATGGGTGACGTATTAGTATGGAGGGCGTATTTCAACAAGGATAACCGTTTACTATCCGCGAAGTCATATTGGCTTATTTGTCAACAAGTCAAATAAAAAAGAAAAGTACAACATTTTGCATTTAAGATATATCTCATACTTATATGTATATAACTATTGCCTAAGTCAGGGTAGGCGAACCAATGGCACGCGTGCCGTTGATGGCACGCGACACAATATTTTGGGCACGTCGCCGATCATAAAACATGTGTAAAAAATGTGTTAAGTAGGTATTTTATGACGATCGAACCTACGCTACGGAGTGTTCGGTTGAGGCTAACCTGCAAGCATCAGAAACGATATAATCACAAGAAACTACAAGTATTTTCCAAACTTGAAAAAATATATAATTGATTTTGACATTCACGAGACAGCAGACAAAGAATAATTTACTGAAGAATTTATTTCTGTAATCGATTCTTTAATTAAAGAATTTTCAGGGAGATTTTCTCAGTTCAAAGAATTGTCGGAAATACTCAAATTTATTATGTACCCTGGTGTGACGTCATTTCATAAACTGAACTTCTCTCAATTCGATTGGTTGGAAATTGAAGAATTTGAAATGCAGTTGATTGATTTCCAATCTAGTTCAATATGGATTCAAAAAATTATTGAAACAAGGAAAGAGTTGGAATTAATTGAAACTGAAAGATTGACAAGTAATTTAAGTAAAAATGCTAATAACAAAATTCTGGAAACATGGAATGCGTTACCAGACACATTTAACTGTTTGAAGAAGCTGGCTCATGCTATTTTAACAATGTTTTCATCTACCTATGCCTGTGAGTCATTATTTTCAGAGATGTATAACATTAAAAATTCGGTTAAAAACCGTTTGACAGATGAATCCAGTTCAGCATGCATTTTGCTAAAAGTAACATCTTACAACCCTAACATAATTTATTTGTCATCTAACTTGCAGCAACAGAAGTCACACTAATTTTACAGTAATTTAATTTATGCGTGTAATAAAAACATTTCAAAATGTACCTCTTTTGTTTACTTTATTTAATAAAGAGTTTTGATGGTATTTATTATTGTTATTTTCCAAATAATCATTATCATCATCAGCCTATCAAAATGAAAAAATAATCAGAAAGTCAAAATTATTTGATGGCACGTCAATGACCCCATTAAACATTTTTTAGAAAAAATGGCACGTTGATGCATAAAGGTTCGCCTACCCTGGCCTAAGTATTATTAAGTAGGCATGTTATGTATAATATATGACAAAATATTACTACAGTCACTACTACTATTGTCAGCACTTGTGTAAAATAAACATAGCATTAAAATAAAGCGCGAAGCAATTAAACAAGCATTGTGTCAACCTGACATGAAACCACCTACTACATGTGCAGCTGGTCGCGCGCGCGCGTTTTACTACATGTATGTAATAGACTTCAACGCACGACCGACGGGTGGCGTAATCCGGAGATTATTCCATTTTGTACCTATTTACATTAAACTCCTATGATCTATCTATCATTATCCAGATAGTTTTTAGAATATACCGTTATATTTTATTATCTAATAAGTAGTAATAAAGATTTTCAACAATTTTGTTTGAAATCAAATTAGATTAATGCTTGTATTCGAAAATTACGAGCAGATATTGAATTCAGTTGAATATCTATGACAATACGCGAGTTTACACTCCTTTCTTATCCCGAGCGAGCTTTTCTAAGAACTGTAACTGACTTGTATCGAACAATAAATAGTAGAATCCTTTAAGTCCCATTATCTCGGTATCATCACAACGCAGCTACAGTAGAAGCTTTTAAAGCTGCGGGGACGTTCGATGGGTCGAAGGGAGGGGCGCGGGCGTACGAGGCCTCCGCCTGCCAGTGCCGCGCCGACTGCGACGTCGCCCGCATGCCGCATTAAACGCGTTATCCTTTTGACAAAAAAAACAAAAACATAACTGAAAAGTGTATTCAATTTGTGTTTGTGTGATTGGGTGACAATAGTTTGAAGAGTTTTGTTAAGTGTAACTTCGGACATACATGTTAGACGACTGTTTATAGTGTTTTGTCACGTGTTTACGAATGAATGTGACGGCGTAGGCGCAGCCACAGCGGGTCGCACTCTTCGTGAGATATTCGTGCGCGTGCAGGTCGTCGCGGCCATGCTGCATACCTGACAAGAGCGAGTGCGCGAGTCTGCGCGAACGGGACACAGCGAGCGCTCCCGGCGCGCGTCAACTTTCGCTGACGAAGAACAACCCTGCAATGTTTTTATCGGTGTCATGACGAGGATGGGGCGATGGCACGTGGCGCTGGTCGCGCTGGCGGTGCTATCCAGCGCAGGCATCAACGCTACCGCCGAGCAGATGCAATCTCGCGCCGTTGATACTGGCGTTGACCTTCGCGTGCCCGAAGACCAGCCCGTTGGTACCATAGTTGGAAAAATCCCCACTAAGCACGGTTTCACTTATCGATTTAATGAACCTCCCAAGGAGTTTACGCTCGATCCAGTATCTGGTGAGATTAGGACTAACTTAGTTCTTGATAGGGAAGCTGTAGATCGGTACGCCTTCGTTGTATTATCAAGTCAGCCTACCTATCCGATAGAAGTGCGATTAAGGGTAACGGATGTGAATGACAATAATCCGGAGTTTCCTGAACCGAGCATAGCGGTGGCGTTTTCTGAGAGTGCAGCGGCTGGAACAAAACTGCTGCTCGATGCTGCTACTGATAAGGATTTAGGAGAAAACGGTATCACTAACGATTACAAAATTGTAGATGGTGATATTGAGGGCAAATTTCGTCTCAACGTTACTGTTAATCCAAGCGGTCAAACTTCTTACCTCCACCTAGAAACAACGGGCAAGTTAGACAGAGAAACTACTGATTTCTATGTCCTTAACATATCAGCACGTGATGGTGGTAATCCACCGAAATACGGGTATCTACAAGTGAATGTATCGATATTAGACGTTAACGATAATCCTCCTATATTTGATCAAAGTGACTTTTCAGTGTCTCTAAATGAAAGTGTACCACCCGGAACCACAGTTCTTAAGGTAACGGCTACTGATAGTGATCTAGGTGATAATAGTAAAATAAGTTATGAAGTAACCGATACTGAAAAACAATTTGCGGTAGATCCTGAGTCTGGAGTGATAACAACTGCGAAGAAGCTGAATTGCCCTAAGTATTGTAGTAATACAACTTGTAATATGACTTGTGTTCTTACTGTAATTGCTAAGGATCATGGTGTGCCTCGACAGGATGCACGTACTTACGTCACAGTTAATCTTATAGATGCTAATGACCATGACCCGGTTATAACATTTACGTATGTCCCGCCAACAGCTAATTTTGCAACTGTTGATGAAAATGCAAAAAATGGGTCACTTGTAGCTGCTATTACTGTTACAGACTTAGATGCAGGTTTAAATGGTATCACTAGTGTTAGTATCGTTGCAGGTAATGAACTCAATCATTTTCGGTTGGAAAATTCATCAAGTGTATACATTGTTCATGTTAATGGTGTCTTAGATAGAGAAGAAATTAGTAAATATAATTTAACTGTTGTTGCTACAGACAGAGGATCACCCCCACGTACTGCTACCTCATTTTTAGTTATCCATGTTAATGATGTAAATGACCATGAACCTGTTTTTGAAAAATCTGAATATTCAGCAGTATTAACGGAACTAGCTCCGTCGGGATCTTATGTAGCAAGTATTACAGCAACTGATGAAGATACTGGGGTAAACGCTGAAATTTATTATGATTTTTACGATGGAAATCAACAGCAGTGGTTTTTCATCGACCATTTGACAGGTTTAGTGACAACTAAATCAATTTTGGATCGTGAAATTCAAGGAACAGTCGAGTTAAATGTTTCAGCCAGGGATGGCGGTCCAAACCCAAAGTGGGCTTATACTAGATTAAAGATAACTATTTTAGATGAAAACGATGAAGCACCTAGTTTTTCACAGCCTCAAATAAACGCATCCCTACATGAAAATATAAAACCTATTAAAGAAATTCTCATTCTTACTGCATCTGATTACGACCAGGGTACAAATGGTTCAGTCTCATACTATTTACCATCGAGTATCGAGAGAAAATATCCTAACACATTTGTATTAGATCCTATAACAGGGCAATTAAGTACGGTAATAGAATTAGACAGGGAAAGAATACCCCTGTATGAAATACAAGTTCTTGCCAAAGATCAAGGATTTCCTCCTCAGTCATCGACAGCCACCGTACTACTGAAAGTTTTGGATGTTAATGATAATGATCCAATGTTCTATCCGCAAAGGTATATTGAAAGTATAAACGAAGAATTACCTGTTGGAACAAATGTATTGCAAGTGAAAGCATTAGATTTAGACGAGGGTGAAAACGCTAGGATTATGTTTAGACTGGAGAGCGGCGGTGAAGGATACTTTGACGTTGAACCATGGACTGGTAACGTTGTGCTTCAAAAGGATTTTCGTAAGGCCCCAGAGACAATGTATACGTTAAAAATATCATGTAAGGATAAAGGAAATAGAAGAGCGTTTGAAGATGCCATCGTCGAAATAGTAAAAACGTCACAACGCAATAATCTTCAATTTGATGGTTATAATGGATATAATTTTAAAGTTCTAGAAGATGACGGTACCTCAAAACCAGATTTAGGTCGATATGTGGGCAAAGTAAACGCAAGAATATCAAGTGATACAATATCCTACTATATATTAGAAGGTGATTCTAAGCACGTCTTCAAAATGGATGAAAAAACAGGTGTGATTACTACAGACTCGAATGTTGATCGGGAAGATAAAATGACATATCATTTAAAAGTTATGGCTAAAACCGGCGTTGCATTTGGGTTTACAACAGTCAATATTTCGGTGTTGGATGTTAACGATAACTATCCTATCTTTATTGAAGACAAAGATGAAATACATATACTTGAAAATATGGCTGTAGGACAAGAAGTATATTTTGCTAGAGCGACTGATCGTGACTCGGGTTCTAATAGAACAATCTTTTATACACTGAGTTATAACCCAGAAACCAACTTTCGTATTTCAGAAACAACGGGTGTTATTTATTTGAATAAACCAATATCTGGAGAACCTGGGAGCGTGATGTTTATTGAGGTAACTGCTACTGATAACGGTAGTCCTGCTTTAGCAGCAAAACACTCAATATCAGTAATCGTTGATGATGTCAATGATCACACTCCAGTATTTGATCATACTTCTTATGAAACGTCTTTACTTGAATCTACTTTGGTGAACACTAGATTTTTTGCAATATCTGCCTCCGATGCCGATCTTGGTGCTAATGGAAGGATTTCTTATTACATTGCGGAAGGAAACACAGATGGAAAATTTGGAGTATTTCCAGATGGATATCTATACGTAAAAAGCTTATTGGATAGGGAAGAGAAAGACTATTACTCACTGACAATAATAGCCACTGATCATGGCAAACCTGCAAGAACATCTCAAGTGCCAGTAGTAATTCATGTTTTGGATGAAAATGACAATAGCCCACAATTTACAAATACTACATTTATATTTAAAATAAAGGAAAATGAACCACCCGACACATTTGTTGGTAAATTAACCGCAGTAGATAGAGATATTGGACGTAATGCAGAATTGACATTTTCCCTGCCTATCGCACAAAACGATTTTAGAATAGATTCTAGAAATGGTTTTATCAAGACTTTGACATCTTTTGATAGGGAAAGTCTAGCGCGTATTACCGGTCAGAATTATATAACATTAACAGTAACCGTTAGTGACAATGGTAAAATTAAATTATCAGATTCTGTAAGGGTAACAATTTACATAACAGATGTTAACGATAATGCTCCTATATTTAAAAATACCCCCTATAATGTTGAAGTTTCCGAAGGTGCCGCTGTAGGAGCTTCTATAATGCGAGTCCACTCGACAGATGCTGACGAAGGATTAAATGGAGATATTTATTATAAATTAATAGGTGGCGATGATCTCGGCAAGTTCTCCTTGGATGAAGCAACTGGGCAGTTAATTATTAATAAGCCACTGGATCGAGAGACAACGGACAGATATCATCTTACAGTAATAGCTCATGATTCAAGTCCAACTGTACAACTTTCAGCAACAACAACTATTACAGTCCAGGTTAATGATGAAAATGATAACGCACCAGTATTTATCCAGACACAAATGAGAGTGTCAGTCTTAGAAACGGAACCTGTGAATAAAAAGATAATTCAATTTCATGCGACAGATGCTGATCTTGGTATCAACCGAGAACTGCAGTTTTCTATTACAACAGGAAACAGGAAAGAAGCATTTTTTATTGATAGTTACTCTGGCGAGTTATTCTTACATAAACAACTTGATTATGAAGACTTGACATCGTATGTTTTGAATATAACTGCTACGGATAACGGTAATCCAAGTCTATCATCCAGTATATCATTTACAGTAACTGTGATAGATGCGAATGACAATGCTCCTATTTTTACAAATACAGCCATTGTGCGTCAAATAAGAGAAGGTATACCAAAGCACACGCCAATAGTTACCGTCACCGCAGAGGACCCAGATTCAGGACTAAACGGCAAAGTTTATTATTCCATCACGCACCAAGATCCCAACGACAGTAAGCGTCACTTTGCCATAAATAACATCACTGGGGTCATACATACTTTGTTACCTATTGATAGAGAAAGCATTGACACATTCAGAATAACTGTTGCCGCTTATGATAGAGCCGAGCCACCATCAATGCGGCTCTCGGCTGAGAAATTAGTTACTGTAATCGTTGAAGATATTAACGATAACGCTCCAATTTTTGTGTCAATGAATGCTGCTGTACTCGACACCGACAGACTCGGAAGAAGTACAGGTCGCGGCATATTTATAATGAATGTATTAGCTCGTGACATAGATTCAGGGACAAACGGTTTGGTCACTTATAAACTCATACATGGAGGTAATGACTTATTCGATTTGCACAGAAGTAACGGTGCTTTGACTTTACGTTATCCTCCGGCAACTTCTGAAGCGCGATGGAACTTGGTTATAAAAGCTACAGACGAGGCCGTCCTTAGTGAACAAAAAAGCACTGAGACTTATCTCACTGTGATAATGGGTGGTACTGAGCTTCAAGGGGTAACGTGGACAAACGTCGAATCAGTTTCTGTGGCTGAAAACGAACCCGCGGGAACCGCTGTGCTAAACTTAACTAATAACTATAAATCGGGCTTAGAATATTACATAGTGAATGTGACTGGTGATGGTAGGCAAGTGGACAGGTTGTTTGACATCGATTCCTCCTTGGGAATATTATCAACGGCAATTTCCCTTGATCGAGAGGCTGGTATGGAGCGGTATGATGTGGAAATATGCGCCGTGTCTTCTGGGGCTCCGCTTAAAACGACTACTACAAAGGTACGTATCCAAAAAATAATATAATTAATTGGACAGATTGCATGATCGCATCAAGTGAATTTCAGCGTAGAAGTACTATTAATAATTTAAAGCGAACAATCCAATTAACTTAGCACAATCGCCACTAGAGACAACACATCGGCACCGTATTGCTGTTAAAAAATAAAAATGAATACTCGTTAGTGTATGTCGCCCGGCGCAGTCTAATCGGGGCTCTAAATTACGATAAGTCGTGTCTCTCGAACGATATCAGAACACTCGTTCTTAAACCTTTCAAAGATTAACAATGTGAAACATGATTTTTGTTTGTAATACGTATTATTTTATTAACAGTTTCTGCTTTATTGGATTACTTTAAACTTTGGTTGAATTCTCAAACCTTATGTACGTGCGTATCATATTTTCCTCCTTATTTATGACATTAGCGTTTTAAATGCTTACTACGATCAGTTTCAAAGAAAACAATCCGCTTCAAAAATAATTTAACCTTTGATCCGAAAAAGCCATTTTGAATCCAAGTTTCAAGCGCAATTTTATTTACGACAGAAATAAAAAGTATCTAAAACTGGATGTGTGCTCGTAAAAGATCTCGTCACATTACGATATTGTACCTCACCTTTTGACGTATAAAATGTTGAACTTGTGACATACGGGTGTGGCCAGTTAACACGTTTCTTACATTTCCTACGCTGCGTTTATCCAAATGTTTTGCATTATTATAAAAGTCTTTGTTGTGGGGTAATTTATATAATATACAATACTGGAAATTAGTTGTGGAATCTGTTATTGCAACTGGTGCTTCAAAACTCTTTTGAATTACATTTTGAAGATAAGCATAATTAATGTTTTTAACACAATCTGTAAAGCAGTTATAAACATAATTCAAGAATTGTCTTACCGTTGGGAACTGAAATAATGTAAATAAAGATAGATTTTCCATTTAAAATCAAACTTATATTTTAAACACCTATGTGAATACTATTATTGAATTGTAAGCTTCAGATATTACGGGTAGAAGTCACTATTATATTATCTGGTATCGAACATAATGACCATGTCATAAACCTGTTTCTTACGACTTCAATAAAACTGTGACTCCGGGGTGAATCAATGTAAAAATCCCTTGCATAGCGTCGTAAATGTCCCTCCAAACGAATTGTTCTATTCAGAATATTTTGAATCACAATCGTTCTTTTTGGAGTATACCTATATGCATACAGGTCAGTCGTTCCTTTTACGTCCATTATTTTTATTCTGTACAAATTATTATGCCAAGGCGGCACTTTTTATGTATATCACCTTGTGTCTAAACCAAGGCTGTATGTAGCTTAAGGATGATAGAATTATTCTTGATTTTAAGAACAACTGGTTTAGGAATCAAACGTATACTTAATACAAACTGGCGAAGTGCGGTGAAAAATGTCTCTTGTTATTTATGTAAGGAAAAAACGTGACGCTACTAAACGTTGTTTTCATGGCCCTTTAAATATTATAGTTACTGTAGTAGATATTCGCCTTATAAAGTAGTGGTGGTAAAGAAGTGATGCAGCCGCTCGGCCCTTGGACATAGGCCTCTGTTGTTCTGCGTAATTTGCTCCCTTAGGCTGCTCTTACGACACCCTTGGGATGAATTGGGGTAGTGACACTCTGTATTCTTAATCCGTCACCACACGGACGAGAGTCCGTGCATGGAGTATCTATGCCCGGAGAAGCGAAAATCGAGATGGCGCTTTTCGCCCATCCCGTCATCTGGTGAATCCATTTGTCGCCTGTAGGCCGCTTTACTTGAAACGACGGCTAATTATCAACTAACTGGACCAACAACGTAACTTATTGGTGCAGATATAATTTTTTAATATCATCTAATCCAAATTAATACTTTTTTAATTTTTGTCAGAACTCACTGACAACGTCTTACGAGTATGTGTGGTATGTATTAGTTATTGTTCAATGTCACTGTTTCTTTAGGTTTTATTTTAGTACATCTTAAATTTTTTAAACATTTCAGTAAGTTATTGGCGGAATAAATGTACTTGTATACCTAGCAAGTCAATGAGCGTTGCAATATTTTAAACACAAATCTCTCTTAAAATATAAAGTTGCCAAAGTTATTATACGTCAAGGGTCGTTATCTTTAACAAGCGTTCGAAACGCAACGTACTTTACAGTAAAACTTTAAGAATAAGAGGAATAATAAAAGTATATTAATACTCAAGTCTTGCTTATTTGAATATACGATTCGAATATCTTACTTAATCGACGCCAACCGATTGGTCGACACAAGTGAGAACTGTCACATTTACTACTCAATATATTGTCATAAAACAGTACTTTTAACAACATTTTATTTTAGTATGGAGAACCTTGTTATTTCTGTGTGCTGATTTACATACAATTAGGAGATCAACCTTCATTAGGTTTATATTTTGTTGCAAATACGAGTGGGGGGGACAAATTATCACATGACGATTATAGTGTCAAAAATGACGAAAATTATACGGTTTTACAAAGAACTTTCTAAGAACTTCTGGATGATTGTTTACTGACAATATCTCGTGTTTTTTGTCTGTACTAGTAATAACCGAGTCCGGTTGTGTAGGGATGTTAACAATCGACAGAAAACTCGTTTTTTTTTGTCTAGAATCGTAGTGGCTTGTAAATAAACCGACTCATAAACTCATTATTATATTTTTATTTTGCAAATTATTCTATAGATTCAATTCTTTTCAGCTATATTCTCATATATTTAACTAAAATTAAGGCGGAGTTTGAAAAAGCTTTAGCGCCTTGTCTAACCAACCGATAATATAAGTCATTTAATTTTACTTTTTTTAAAGTTTTATCAAAGTAATCACATTCAATTAAAGCAATATGTATTATAGAATTATAACACATTAAATATTTTATATAGTTCAATCAAAAAATCTGTATCTACTCTAAATCTTGAAATTTGATCTCTTCTTTGAAGTCATATAATTCGAGATTGTATGTTAGAAACATAATATAGTAATAATATGTAATACCAGAAGAGGATTAAAAATATTCAAGTCAGGTACCCAAGTTAAGCGTTTCTTCGTAGATCACAATCTAAGAAGCGGTCAGGTGCTGTCATGTGCGCATGCGTCCATGACTAAAAACCGTTACGGGTCAGTTGATATCAAATTCAAATTAAGTAGAACCACTCAGCGAGAGTAGGCTTACATACTACCAATTAGAACCTTTTTATTAAGGGACTATTTTATTTTCATCAGCGTAAAACTGACAAATTTACTGTGTATTGATTTTGTACTACCACTATGATGTGAATTATTATGATGTGAATATTAGCAATCAGTGTTTATTCCAAGAAAAATATGAGCACGTTAGTATCGGTAATAGACGGTATCATCTTTGTAAGGCATAGAGTAGTCAGTGATACTTATCATTTAAAGGATGACAATTAAAATAAATAATATAATATAATATTTTCGGACCTCTGACACACAAAGCCATCCAGTTTCAAACTAAGCAGAGCTTGTACTTTGAAAGCTAGATTGACTGATAGAATTAACTGATTAACCTTTTTTTTTCTGTAAATACATAAATATTATACATAGAAAACACGCAAACTTAGATAAAAAAATTGCAGATCATACAAACATTCGGTCCGACTCGGGAATCGAACCCGAGACGCAGACGGATCACGGTGCGGTGATGGTGATTGACTGCCGCCGCCCTTGAACACCTGCTCCTCAAAAGTTGCAAGTGAGTTGCCGCCGTTTGGGTCTCCTCCCCCCAGAATCACGGGGGGAGGGCTTAGGCTCCGGTATCCTTATCCACTAGATGGAAAACAACAATTGTCGGTTTAAGCTAGTGCTAGTTACTTATTAAGATTGTCTCTTAGGAAATTTTTAATCGCAGCTGACTGTGATAAATGCAAAAATGAGTTACTTATATGTGGTAAAGCGGTAGTTAAAAATTATATCAGTCTATTCGAGTTTCATTCATTCGGTGCTCTTACAAGTTATACCTCGAACCCATGTTGCAATATTGCACAATGTTCAAATTATTGCTGTGAGTCATCAGTTGGGCATCTGTTACGATAGTATCAAAAACGTGCATAAACTTACCTAGAATGTGTTCTTCCGACACAAACTACGGTTTGGTTAAACAAAACTTACAGAAATATATTGCTACGAACGTAGAAACTGCAGTACAGAACTACGCGGTAAGAATATAAAATTGGCGTACTGTGTGAGGTGAAGGGTTGTGAATACCAATTTATAGAATATCGGAATCATTTTCCATAGCTCATAGAAAACAATTGACAATATCTTTTGCTAAATCGAGACGTGCTGATATTGATCAATCGCAGTCATCGCTTTAAATCCTTGAGTCCATAAAATCATGGGGTATGATTGTGTGAAAATTAACGATTTAAGGTAAGAAGGGGAGAGGGGTGAGCAATCGACCAACACCGAAAGCGCATTAGGGCGCCAGGCTGCATTCCCGGGACTGATTTATGCAACGTACACCCGCCGGCGCGGGCATCGACACTCGCTTTAATGAACATACAAGTTACGTTATACAGTGAAATGGCTTTCATTATTTCACGCCAATACTAATAGTCTCATGTCTACGCAACACATTTAACCTTCGATTCACGTAATGGTTTCTTCGTTCTTGTTTTGCTATTTCATGATAGGAGATCTATCACAGCGATACTATATGTTGATAAAAATAATATTTAAATGTTTTATTCATTGCATGCAATTTATACGAGACGTTTTAAAATATAGTAAGAGTAATGTAGTAAAACCAAAAAAAGTATTTCTACTGGACAAAGTGTAAAAGCATGTGTCATGTTATTCTTCTAAAATTAAGTAGGTACTTAGGTTTTTTAGAAATAATACGTAAAGCTAAAATGAATGATGGTGCTTTTTGTGATTAAAAACCAGGGATAGATCAGACTGAACATTGACTAAAACATAGTTAAAAAATTTATCTACCTAGATTCTCAAACGTTTAATCTTTAATGTATCGTG